ACAGCAGTGTTAATTGGGAGGTAATTTTAATTGACCTCAAAGAATTGTTTCAGTATGACACCACCAGTTCAGGCAACACTGGTCTTTCTTACAAGACTTCCTCAGGACTGCACAGAACATTAGCAGTACAGATCTGTGTTGTAGTGGCTTCCACACCTGACCTCACTGACAAGGTCTTGTATTCATCAAAGCAGAATGATGTGAGCCTAGAGGTACACATTCCTGGGTTGTTGACCTAAGCATGCCAGTGTGCTTGAGGGCTGATTAGAAATGTCTTCTTTAAGTGGAGTTTTATCTTGGGACTATCAGGTTTGCACAAGAAAAAGATCATTAGTCAAGGTTACAAGATGTTGATCAGCAGTCCTTGTTGTCAGAGCCATCGCAGTGCAAAGTGGTCTGTAGGTATTAAACCCCATCTCTGTGCTAAAATTGGTGTCATACATGCTGAAGGAAAGAGGTCTTGTCACAATGATGAAAAATAGGTTGGATATAAAGAGAAACGTGTCTGGTGGACAGTTAAAGGAGTGCTACTTGAATCAGCCTTACACATTCCTTGTTCACGCTGATTGTGTGCTGTAGTTCTGCATCCACTTAAGAAATGGATAATTCTTCTCTTGTTGGAAGTCTGCAGAAAACAATTTCTTGCATGCTGTGTCATATTTACAGCATCCATGTTGGCTCTACTGGGTATGTTTGCTATCTCAGGGCTATAATTCCAAGTAAATATCCCCATGTTAAAAGGTTGATCCTTAAGTTTACTCTCCATCTCAGTTACAATAGCTGTCAAATGTAGCTGCCTTGCAGTATATGCTGTATAAAGTGGGTTCCTTCAAATGTTTTAGGGCTATATGAGGAAGCTGGGCATAATTAGTTTGACAATGCCTTCTCTTACAAATTGGTCTGTGTGTATCAGGCACAGCTCAGTGATGAATTTCTAGCTGCATAGTTCACACACACCATAGCATTATTTATCCTGCATGAACATTGAAACAACATCTCATGCTTTTCTCATTGCATAGTCTGGTTATTTTTTCATTGTCTTTTATCAGGATTTTTATCAATGTTTCCCCACAGCTTCCAGATTGTTCACAATGCAGATGCAGCAGTTCTGTTCACTAGGCTGGGAACAGCAATCACATTACCCATGCTCTGCATTCTTTACATTAGTTGTTCATAGGAAGACAGATTTAATTACAGAGAGTACTAACTGGGGATGGACGGACACTTGGTTGCTTGTTTTAAAAGCCATGATTGACATAATAAGAAGGTCTAAGCTCCATTTGCTTCTTACTGATGCTTTTGCTAGTGACCTTTTATGTTTTGATGCAGCCTATTGCTTATGAAGGTCAGTTTGTTATAGCAGTTTACACTGATGTAGCTGTTGTGGTTGACACTTAAAGTCTGTATCAGGTGGGTTTGAGTGGGATTTTGAACCTCAGAATTTTTCATTACTGTTTTTGCGACTGTATTTTTATTTTCCATAAATATGTAAAACGTTTAGAAGCCCTGCAGTGCTTCTGCCTATAACATCTTATGAACTGAACTCCTCTGGTTAACATTTTGTCAGTGCTAGTGCTACAGATCCTTCCAATTCTGTGTTTCCCAGTATCTTCTCAAGAAGCCCTACTTAAAGTAATTGCTTTAGTGCTGCAGAAAAGGTTTAAAGCATCTTTTTTTTGTTATTTGACTGGTCCTATACGTTCTATTAATAATTATTATTTACAAGGGATGTTCTGAATGCTTTAGATTACATAGGGATAACTATGAAGTTTGTGTTCTCTGCACAAGAGGCATAAAAATTCTGTAGGCAGGAACTCCAAGCCATTATTTTTCATCTAAATGAATATTTTATAGCTTTTATAAAAGCTGTAGTACAGAATTATTTGTGACATGATTTTTGCTTAAAGAAACCACCCTACTTGTACATAATTTGAAAAATGTTTTATTTAGATATTTAATGGGTATAATGGTCCAGCTGAGAGATCATAGGATTTAGCCTGTAGTTGTTAGGCACTTAATGTTGATATGGCTTATGTTCAGGAGGCCCATTTGGATAAAGCATCTTATCGCTTATACAAATATATGTTGAGGAGACATGTTTCATTTAGGAAAAGGTACAGCAAAGAGTAAACCTTTGTTTATGAAGCCAGTAACAATTATGAAAAGCACAGCAGAAAGTATTTTGGTTCCAGCATCTACTTCAGCCCTGGCACATTTAAGGTCCATAGTTTCACTTAAATTAAGGTGCTTTTTCCTTCTAGCATTTACAACCACTGGTAGGCTTCAAATATTATATGGACATCCTTAATGAGACCCTTTTGTGATTAATTGCATTAGAGAGGACAGAATTTTGTTCTGGAGTAACAGAAATGAGGGAGAGAGTGCTGCATTTTCCTAGTGAGTACTATTTTTAGGTTGTTTTTCTGTTCAGTTTTGTATTGCTTCTTAACTGAACTTGGAGAGCTAAGACAGATCAAAGCTGTGCATTGGTCCAGCTAAGAAATGAAAACAGATCAAGAAGTGAGGCAGCAGCAAGAGTAGCAATTTGTAGCATCTGTGATAGGGAATAATTGGTAGGAGAACTCCTATGTGCTTCAGAATCATGCTGGAGAATGTGGTCATTAAACTATAAAGATGATAAACATAGATGGACAGGAGCAGAAGCTATAGGTTACAGTAGGCTTCTTTTAAGTTTTTAATCTAGCTTTTTAAAAGCTGGTCATATTAAACAACTCAGGTAGGGAGATCTGTATAATGCCTGTTTTGTAACTGCTCGTCACATCTTTCAAAGACCTCAGTGTCCAAATACACCTTCATAGCTAATAATGGTTGGTATGAAGAGCGTTTTAGTGCTGGTAAGGGGGAGTCAGCTGTGGAATTCCACCAACATAAGTATGACATCTCTGATAGTGAAACATGACCATGGACAATGGAGCAGGACTTAAACAGAATTGGTAGGTAGAGGTCTTTTACTTGATCAGTAGGAGAAAGACAAGCTTTTGGATGCACGAGGCTCAAATAAAACCATGGACTCAGTAGCTTTACTGGGTTTATGGAATATCATAATATACCTCCTCATTAACCTATCTGTTCCATAGGAAACAAGCTGCTTGTTTCTCTGCCCTAACATTGTCTCCTCTCTTTTGATAACGTCTCTTTTACTTCAAAGGGGTCAGCTATCTTGTCTTTCAGAGAAGATCTGACTGATACACACCTAGCGTTTTCAGTGTTGTGTAACATTTGTGACAGATTTCCATATCAGTTTCTGGTTTAAGTGCATTTCTCACCCTTTTCTCGTTTCCTTAGTCATATTCATTGATACTTAGACCTTTGGCTATACTCTGCTGAACTTAGTGGGGCAGAAACTTGTATTTGTTGCCTTCAAGCATGCAGTCTTCTGAAACCAGGAGTAATTAGTACAACTTCTACAGTTTTGCTTTCTCCAACAAGGTTATTGACCATCACAGCTTTTCTAAAGCTAAGTGCTGTTTATTCAGTTACACCATTTGTAGGAAGGCACAAACCTGCTGTAAAACTATGAACTGTTATCCATCCAACCAGGCAGCTTGCAGTATTTGTATCTACCATCTGGTGGCACCTCCTGGCACCACTTAGTGACCCTAGTTCAGTTCTCAAGTAGTTTATGAATAAACCTGGATGAGCAAACACGCATGCTCATGTGAGGGCCACCACTGGGGCTGTTCCTAGCCCTTCTTTGTTGCCAGACCTTTAAGTATCAGATAAAACCAGTAAAATTATGCCCCCAATCTGCTTGGGATGAATCTTTAAAGTCATGCACATTTCCAATGCTGTTTTTCCTCTATCTGTTTTTCTCAAGTTTCTCTTGGGACGTCACTGCTGGACTTTCAGTTCCTTGAAAATATGCTTCATGTGGCTGAGTTTGCTATGAATACATTCAGTGACAAGCACTTAATGATAAATGTGTCCTTTATAGCATCTAAAGGACAGTGTTCAAATATTCTGTATCTTCTCAGCATCTGTTATGTTGCGGTCTTTGAATGACCCAGAATGTTAGGACATCGCAACAGGAATATTTTCATTCTTGGTTTCAGTGTTGCCCTAGTTGTAAATATAGAGGCATAAATCTCCCTCTACCTTTTGCCCTCACAGTGCCTGCTGAAAACATCTATTTATATTTCTCAGAGTTCTTTTTCAACAGAGAACATACAGCTGATAATAGTTTCTGTAGGCTGTAAGTCTGCTCCCTGACTTTCTTTATTATCAAATGGAAGAGAGTAGCCAGACCAAACAATCATGCAGTTTAGCTGAATTGAATGGGCCTGAGACTCACTTGGTTGATGGGTTTGCAGTGGAGTGAAAAACAATTTCTCTGCATCTATATAGTCAGAATGCAAGAAAAGCTGTAAAGGAAAGGGAAGTGGTTGAGAGAAAGAAAAGCATGAGGTAGTCCTTGGAAAAGGAGAGGGTTTACAGAAATTGAGGAGAGGCTGGAGAAAACATAGCATAAATGAGAATAAGTGAAATTGAAAGAGATGAAAGGCTGACAACAATTTCAGCTGTAAAAGTTTTAAGAATTTGAAAATGAAGAGACCTGTAAGAATAAAAATAAAGTCTCTTTGGGGTTCTTGGCAATGAAATGACAATGATGCAGTGAAGAGGGGAGAGACAAAATCAGGGACTTTGCCTGGAACATTAAGTGAGATCAATTTTAAAAAGGCTTCTGTGCTGAGGCTAATACAGAAGCTAAAGAATTGTATGGGAGAGAAGTTTGAAGACAGGCGGAGAAGCTTTGTTAGGTAGGGACATTTGGCAGCATCTCTTGAAACCATTGCCCAGAAAGACTTACGGAAAATAAGAGGGGCACTAGCCAAGCTTCTTTATAGCAAGACCTCTCTAGGAAATTAGTGACTGACACACAATCATGAGTTTCACTGGGTATACAGGTACTAATGCTGCAGGATACTTTACATCCCACTTGGCTTCAGTTACAGCTTTTCTACTCCATCTTTCCTTGACAGATCTGGAGCACCGTTCTTATGGAGACAGGCGGAGAGAGCTGGGGTTGTTCAGCCTGGAGAAGAAAAGGCTCCAGGGAGAACTTAGTGCAGCTTCCAGTGCCTAAAGGGGATGACAAGAAATCTGGAGAGGGACTTTGTACAAGAGCATGTAAGGATAGAACTAGGGGAATGGCTTTAGGCTGAAAAAGGGTAGATTTAGATTAGACATAAGGAAGAAGTTCTTCACTGCAAGGGTGGTGAGACTTTGGAGCAGGTTGCCCAGAGACACTATGGTTGCCCCATCCCTGTCAGTGTTCAAGACCAGCTTGTTCTTTAAATTTGTTTCTATGCTTTTTATGCCAAGTTAGACAGACACAGTGTTGCAGTGCTGTGCAGCAGTTGCCTTGAGGAGTATGATCTGCCGTAGGCTGCAGTTAACAGAGTGCCTGAGCTAGCCTGACCATCTGTGAGGACTACTGTGGCATCTTGATGATGAAGGAGAGCCAGAGAACATGGCTGAAGCAGCACAGAGAGTGAGTTGTAATTTTGGGAGCAATTACAGGAATTGGGGAGTTCTGGAAGGGCTGTGCAGTTTCTTGGCCTCTTGGTAACAACTCTTCTGGCTTTTTGAAGGTGTTGAAGCATAGTCCGGTGGTTGAGGGAGCATCACAGATTGAAGCTTGGGGGATCTGTGGCCAGACACAAAGGATAAGCTCTGACTCACAGCATCGGCACAGCTAAGTCCTGGGACTGCATTGTAGATGAGGGAGGTTGGGTGAGTGGAAGGTGGTTGTGCCCTCCCTGGGGATGAGCCATACTGTGTGGCAGTGTGGGTACTGCTGGGTGGAGGGAGCTGGAAATCTTACCTGGGAGGGTGAAGTTTGGGCATTTAGTGGGTGATGTACAGGCCCAGCAATGGGAATTTGCTTGGTGGGCCAAGTGGTTGTGTCCCTTGGACTACAAATGTTCATTGTGTGAGTAACAGGCTAAAACCTCAGTCTGTTTTACATATTAAAAAGTATTTTCCCAGCTGCAGTGTTTTACTCTTGTTCTGCCAACTCTGTGAGGCATTTTTCCAGTCAGCCTTTAGAGTGGGATTTACTGGACAATGGAAGAGACTTTTGAGGTGGTGTTAGTGACTGCAGGAAAAGTGTTACCTATTGTCACAAACACTTCTCTCAGCAGGTACCACTTCCTTTAAGGAGGGGCTGTTTGGTGATGACAGGTGTCAGCCTTTGGATATTTGATCACAGAGCTGAGAGAACCACAAATATTAAGTTAATTGTCTGTAATGGAGATCTAGTGCTTGCCGTGTTGCAGGTAGCTTCAGTGGAAGTACAGCTTAGTACAGTGGAACATTCTACGGATTGATTCTTACAAATGGTCACTTATGAATGGTGGCTGAACCCAAGCCTATAAACAGCAATTGCAAAGTGTTTCTGGTGTGTCTGTATTCCCATTCTGCTGCCCTTTCAAATTAAGGGGAAACATGTAAAGCTACAGGCAAAAATTCTCATCTCCTTTTTACTTTTCTATTTAATCTTTTCCTGCTCAGCTACTCTTTGACATTTCTTGCTTAAAACTGAGTGGTCAGTTTTTCACTTATGGTTTATTGTTTAGAGTTTGTGGGTGTCAGTGATTTCTCACTCAGGGGTTATAGTTTATTACTTTATTCTGTGGGGCTCTGTATTTACCAGGGTTTACTGTTTACACATTTATTGACAAGGGCATTGGGTGTAAAAATCAAATCTAATGACTGCTTGGATTCTGAGATTTGTAGTTTATCAGTGTAGGGTTTACTGTGTGAAATGGAAAAGTCTAGATAATAAGTGTAATCCCTAAATCATAAACAGTAGGTTGTGAACCCTTCTCTGGGGTTTGTAACCATCATGCAGCAGGGCTAATGTTCACTGTGATCTAAGAAAGGCACTCAAGACTCTGTAAATTATTGATCTAATTTCCATTTATTGAACACTACCAGGCAAAAAGCATAGTATAATCATACATTCTTTCAGATGTTGGGAACAACATTATGCAGAATCTGGGAGTCCTCCAACTGAGGCATGGCCCACAGTGCATCTCCTATCTTTGGGAATGATCTTTTGACATCTTGGTCTTTAGAGCTTTTACAGGATTTTCTTGGAAGAAAATAATGCTATCCACCTTTTTACTATCTAACAAGGGAATGTTCACTTGAGAACCTTCTGCTTCATGGTAAGATAAAGACAATTACATATAATCACCAGTGGCAAGCAGGAACTGCCTTCAGGCTCCTTTGTCCCAGTTAGTTAGCTAAATTTGTCCTGTGATCAAGGTGCAATATGCAGCATGACACATGCCTGAAGGCTAAGCTATACATGCAGCATAGCACAGCTGGAGTGCATGCCTTCTCAAGTTGACTGTTAAGCCAATCACTAATGCCCCAACTGTACGTTAGTGTTCTGGTTAGGATCACTACAGTGACCTTCCCCTGTGCCACCCAGTATTCCCCTCTGTGCTCTGAGAACTAGGGTCTCAGTTTGACACTGCACGCATGACATGCTGCCTCTGCTGAGATGGTGGATGAGTTGAGAGCAGCCAAAAGTTGCTTGCAGGGCTCTAGTCTAGGTGTAAGGCGTAAGCAGACAGGTGAGATCAGGGTTTTGCCTCGAATAACAGAGCTGCATCCTATTCTTGAAGGAAAAAGCAGACTGACAGTTACACCTCTTGTTGAACTTCATGAGGTTAATATCAGCCTGTTTCTCTAGCCTCTGGTCCCTCTGTGTAGCACCGTGATACTGTGGCTTATAAGCCACTCCTCACAGTTTTGTATCATCTGCAGGCTTGATGGTACTCTGCCTCATCACTACGGCTTGCTGTGCTTCAGGGTCATGTTTTAATTTCCATGTGCTCTCCCTTTGTCCTGTGCTCCCAGAGCCCGTTTGCCCTTGTCAGGGCGCTAGGCAGCGCACGCTGCTGTGCCCGGTGACCAAACAGTGGTCCTGCAGGTGGGACGCTCAGCACTGCCCCCCCTCCCTTGTCGCCCTCCCTCGTCCCCCCGCTGCTTTTTGTCCACCTTTTTCCAGATCCCCGCCTCCTTCCCGCCCCCCTGCTTTTGCTGTCTGTCTGCCCTGCTTCCTCTTGCTATCTGTTGTGTCTTTGTCGCATTTCCTCTCCCATCCTTTCTAAATGTATCCCGTCCAGCTAGCTAGTCTCTTCTTGCCTTTCTCTTCCTATTTATTTTCTTTCCCGGTATCTCCCAATACCCATCACAGCAGAGTTGGGGTTTGTTTGATTGTTGGTTTTGTTGTTGTTGTTGTTGTTTGGTTGGTTGTTTGTTTTTTCTCCAGTGCTGTGCTGGTCTGTCTCTTTTTCTCTGTGTCATTCTGACATGGTTTCTGTGTCGCTTTTATAATTCCTCCATCAGACTGCAGCTCATCTCTATTCTTTTTCTTTTCCATCCCTTTATCCTGCTCACTGTCCTTTTCTCTTTGTTCTGCCTCCCATCTTTGTTGTTTTTTTTCTTGCTTCATCTCTCAGTCCTGCTCCCCATCCCTCTCACTCTGTTCTTCTCCTTATCTTTTCTCCCATTTCTCTGTTCTGTTCCCCGTTCAGTTTTTTTTTTTTTTTTTTTTTGTTCTCTGTCACTGTGTCCTGCTTCCTGTCACTGTTTTCTCACTCCATCCCTGTCCTGCAGCCCAGTGCTTTTTTGGCCTTCTCCACATATCTGTCCTGATATGTGTCCTTAGGCTTTTTCCCCTCTTATCTCTGTCCTGCTCCCTGTCTCTCATTTTTGCCTCACTTTGTCCTGCCTGTCACTTTTTCTTTCCCCTCTCTGTATCAACTTGTTTCCCATATTTGCTATTGAAATAAACCCCTAGAGGAATTTGAAATCTCTTCCTCCAAAGTGGGGATGAATAAAAGGAGTCCACTGATTCTGGCGCAACATGAAGGTTTCTGCCAGCAAACATCCCTAAAACTTTACCAGGACACAAACAGAAGAGTAGTCCTAGGAATTATCACAACTAAGTTTTAATTACTTCTTAAAAGATAAATTTGATCCTGTGGAACTTTCACTTCCAAAGAAATACAGTAATAAAGACCTTCTCTGGAGCTCACCTGAATGCATAACACATCCAACAGTTTCACTTCCAGCTGCTACTGACCTGGGCAAGAAACACAGTATTTTATTAGTTCTGGTCTCTAGTGAAGGAAGATGTAGGAGTCACACAGGAATTACTTCCCCAGTTATCACAGAATCATAGAATGATTTGGATTGGAAGTGACCTTAAAGATCAAGTTTGACACTTATTTTTTTTCTCTCTGTCCCCCCCCCCCCCAGTACATGCAAATGTATAATATACCAGGATCTGAAATGAGAATGAAAAAACACTGCAGGAACAAAGTTTTCAGGCAGTGAATTCTGAACGGATACTGTTCTAGTTCATACAATTAGCTGCGCTCATATGCGGCCTGTTGCTTCCCCGCTCCTATTTCTCAGTCTCTCTCTCTCTCATAAAAAAATATTTCATTTCTTTTGACATCTTTCCCTGTCCAGCTCCACACCAGGATATTTGAATTCCTCCCTATCTGGTAGCCCATAACTGTTTTGTCCTTCTCTGTGTCTCTCTGTCTGGCTCCCTGTCCCCATTTTTTAATTCTTCCCTCTCTGCCCTGCAACCCATCACTATTCTAATATTCTCTGTCCTGCTTCCTGTCACGAGTCTGTATTTCCTCACTCTCTGCCCTGAAGCCTGTTGCAGTTTTTTCTTTCTTTCTCCGTTGCTTACTGTCCAGCTCCCTGTCCCCACATTTTAATTCTGCCCTTTCTGCCATATGGCCCGCCACTATCTTCCCTTTCTCTGTCTCTCTCTTTATGGCTCCTTGTCCTGGGTTCAGCAGTAGCAGTTATGTTTCTCCTTCTTGGTAGCTGGTGCAGTGCAGTGTTTTGACTTTCGGCCTGGGAACAGAGCTGATAACAAGTGATGTTTTGGTTTGGCCAAGGACTTTGTGAGCCTCATGCTCTGCCAGGGAGGAAGGGAAGCCAGGAGGAAGCAGAGACAGGACACCTGACCCAAACTGACCAAAGAGGTATTCCATACCACAGCACGTCATGCCCAGGAGGTAACTGGGAGTTAGCTGGAAGGGCTGGGAGACGGCAGGGTTGGTGGAGGTATCGGTCGGAGCTTGGTTGGGCTTGGGGGGCGAGTTATCGGTCGGCTGGTGGTGAGATGATGTATTCTCTTCCCTTGTTATTTCCTTTATCATTATTATCACTGGTGGTAGCAGTAGTGATTTGTGTTATACCTTAGTTACTAAACTGTTCTTATCTCAACCCGTGGGAGTTGCATTCTTTTCTTCTCCTCTCCATCCCTCCGGGAGCAGGGGGAGGGCAAGAAAGGGGGGGAAGTGAGTGAACGAGTTACCTGACTGGGTTTAAACCACGACACTCCTTGTCCCTTCCTTTATGAAATTCCTCCTTTTCTGACTTGGAGCTCACTGTGGTTTTACCCTTCTCTGCCTCTCTCTGACCCTCTCTCTCCTGTGTTTTAATTCCACATTCTGTTCCATAGCCCCATGTATTTGTTTGTCTGTCTGTCTTCATGCCTCTTTGTCCAGTTCCTTGCTAGTATTTTTTTATTTCCTCCCTATCCATCTTGTAGACCATTACTGTTTGGTTTTCACCCCAACCTTCTTTTTTCTTTCTCCATATCTCTCTGTCTGGCTCCCAGCCCCTGTCCTTTAATTCCTCCCTTTTCCCTGTGGCCCACTGCTATTTTTTTTTTTTATTCTCTCCATCATGCTCTGTCTGGTCCTTGTCCTTACTTATCAATTCTTTCCTCTTAGACCTGTGGCCCATCACTTTTTCCTATTTTATTTCTGCTGGCTCCTCTGGCTGCCTGTCCCTGCATTTTTAATTTCTCCCTTTGCTACATAGCCTGTGTGATCTTTTGCATTTATCCATCTCAGGCCAGCTCTCTGTCCCTCTTCTTCAACTCTTCCGTCTCTACCTTGTAGCCTGTTGCCTTTGTCCTTTCTCCGATCTCACTATCTCTGGCTTCCCGATGACCCTGTTTTAGAATTCCCCCCTTTCTGCTTTCTGTACACAGTGCTATTCTATTTGCCCTCCAGTGATCTTCCTTTTTCTGGCTCCCTATCCCTATTTCTTAATTATTCCCTCTCTGCCCTGTAGTGTGTAGCTCTATGTTTTGTTTTTTGTTGTTCCCCATGCCCTGTCCCTTTCCTCCATCCTTGGCTGTTCCAGCTCCCCGTCCTTGTTTTATCCTCCCTCTCTGCCCTGTCGCTTTTTTTGTCTCTCTCTCCCCTCAGCCCTCTGCTCCTATTCTTCTCCCCCACCCCATCATGCTGCCTGTCCCAGGATTTTTCTACATCTCCATCCTGCTCCATGTCCTTATTTTTCTTTCTCTGTCCTGCTACTACTCCCTCTCTGCTGCTTCGTTCTCCACCTCTGCTGGGCTCCCTGTCCTCAGCTTTCTCTTGCTGCTCTATTCCCTGCCTCATGCTTTCTTACTACACACCCGTTGCCCAGCAGCTGCCACTTTTCTCCTTTCTTCTAGCGTCCTGCAGCCTGCTCCTCACTTTTTGCAGTCTCCAGCTCTGCCCACCAACCCATCGCTCCAGGAGCCAACTGACTGACTGTGTTCCCTGCCAGACTGACCAAGCATGGCTCCAGAAATTACTGCAGAGGTATCCCAGGGGCAGGCCCCCAGCCCTGGAGCAGACTCCCTTCTAGGACTTGTTAAACAGATGACTGGACAAATATTACTCGCTGTCTCCTTTGCCTTCCTGGCCTCGTTTGCGCTGCCTTTGCACTGGGTGAGGAGCTGTGAGGAAGGACATGATGCACTGTGGAGGTCAGGCGATGGCCCCCTGATTCTGCTGGGCTGCGAGCCGGGGCCAGAGGAGACCCAGGTGCAGTCAGTGAGGCTAATGCCGACAGCCCCTTCCTGTAAAGACAAGGAGCCGGTAGAGGGGCTAAGTGCTGCCCTGCCGCGGGTGCCCGGGGAAGAGCGGAGCAGTCACTGATCTTCCGGGGGCTGCGGCCTTACGGAGTGAGATGATGTGCGGGTCCGCGCGGCTTGAACGGCGGTCCCGTCGGGTGGTGCCGGGCGCGCCGACCTCCAGCACGGTCAGACAGCGGCAGGCTGGTAGCTGCACTGCTGGGGTACAGGGCTCCCGAGGCATGCCGGGAGGTGTAGTCTTTCGGTGTTTCCCAATGCATGCCCGGACCAGTGATTTTCGCGGGCTCGGCCGCCTGGCAGCCACACCGGTCTCTGACCTTAGCATCGCTACAGCACCAAGCGTGGTTTTACTGCCGGCTTTGTGGGGTTTCCCGCGGCTTTAAAGCTGCTTCTTGCCGCCCACCCTCTGAACGGCAGCTCTGCAGCTCGCACGCCACACACACGCTTTCGCCCTTGCTCTCTGCTGCCGCCTAGCTAGTGAAGCGGGGTACTGCAGGTGGGCGCCGTGGGGCTCCGCTTTGCCGCCCGCCGGTAACGGCAATGCGACACTGCGGTGCCTAGGAGGAGGACGCCGCCGCCGCGTCGGGTGCTGCCCCCGGTAGGGAAACACCGCCCCCGCCGCCCCGTGTGCGCGCTGTCGGCAGGCGCTCGGCGGGCAAAGCGTGGGACTGCCGTGCTCATGCCGCTCCTGGGCCCGCGCCCCCCGCCCTGTGCTGCCGCTTCGTGGCGAAGCGCGGTGGTGCAGGGTGGGCCCCGTACAGGTGTTGCCACCGCAAGGCCCCATGCCCGGCCCTAGTCCCGGAGGAGAGTGAATCCTGGTTACTTAGTGCGTGTAAACGGCCATGGCTGCAGCTCTGGGCTGGAGGAGCCCTGGAGTGGCCAGTGTGGCTAATGGTGATGGTCACTCTGTGTGACGGGGCTGCAGCCCCGGGGGATGCTGCTGCTGGGGCACACCTGCCTTTGAGGGCTGATGAGTTGCGTGTTTCTTTTGCAGACACAAGCTAATCCCAACGTGGCTGTTGTCATCTTTCTTCCATCTTCCCTGCTCTGAATTTGCAAGAGCTAAATGGGGATAGATACCTAGACATTTGCTATGGCTTCTTTTGTTCTCTGATCTGCAAACATTTGCATCTGGCAGCCTTAGCTGTATTGCTAAAACTCAGGGGGGCATGCTGGTGTCGGGCGCTGTTCAGCATGTTTCACATCAGGTGGTGGAATAACAATCTGTTGAATAGCATACAACTACACTCAGGAAGATGTTTTCTTTCAAGGTTCTATAACAACAGGGCAAAAAGAGTTGGCATAAGCAGAAAAAGGAACAGAAATGCCTATCAGAAATGGAATTCAGATGAACTCCAGGGCTGGCCTTTCTTATGGCAGTCCTATAGAACCTGCTGACTGCCACTTGGCTAGTCCCAGCCCAGTTAGCAGGGATTGCACACCGTCACCTTCTGGTGCAAGTAAGCAAGAGCAGTGATTGGATTACTACTGGAAGTCCTCAGAGAAAGAGTCACCAGTCCTTCTTAAGTTAGAATCAGAGTGGAGGCAAACAAGTATGGACTAGAACATTAAAAGCTACTTGGGTAAATGAGCTCCACTGGAAAGGGGAAAAGTCTTGTATTTGTCTAAAATTACAATCAGAAGGAGAAATGGCAACAGGCTTTTGGGGATAATGAATGTGCTCTGTGGCAGTCTGAGGTGAATAGAAATGATTGCTACATCTGTCTAATGGATGGTGTCCCACAAGAGGTTCCTGAGCATTTGTTCAGGTTTGAGCTGTTGGAAAATGTGCTGGCCTGCTGCAGACTGGCAACAGTTTGGACTCTTTTCTTTTACCTTCCCTCTGTCAGCATTTTGAAGAGAAATTTCCTCTGGGCCAATCAGGGAATATGGTAGACCACAGCCTAGTTAGAAGTGGGCTGAGTTCAGAAATCCTTTTCACATCACTGTTAGTATGAGACTTCACCTACTGATGCAGAGGGGATTGCTGATTCGGTACATCCCCATTTCCCTGCTGTGAGTGAATTAATCCCTCTGGCCTTTTATTCTTCATAGTCATACAGAGGAAGCTACCCACCTCCGTATGTCTGTACTGCAGCATCAGCAGGCCCGGCTGAGGCTGGGATGGGCACATACCATATTTAAATAGCAGCTGCCTTTTGCTATCTCGTTATTACAGCCTTCTGATTAATGATTCTTATGTAGAACAGAGGAGAAAGCTGATGTCTCCCACAGACAGATTTCCTGACTACACGTTCACCCTTTGCCAAAGGCTCATACAGTCAGCACTTTCTTATGATTAAACTTTCTTTGAGAAAAAAAAAATATTCTAACAATCAGCCTTTAATCTTTCACCTACTGCTACAAAGAAGCTTTAGAAATAAGAATTCCTGCAGTATAACGCTTTTGAAATGTATATGCCAAGAGTGATAAACCCCTCTCTTTTATACTTGGGAAACAAATCTGTTTCATAGAATCATAGAATAGTTAGGGATGGAAAGGACCTTAAGATCATCTAGTTCCAACCCCCCTGCCATGGGCAGGGGACACCTCACACAAAACCATACCACCCAAGGCTTCATCCAACCTGGCCTTGAACACCAACCAGGAATGGAGCATTCACAACCTTCCTGGGCAACCCATTCCAGTGCCTCACCACCCTAACAGGAAAGAATTTCTTCCTTATATCCAATCTAAGCTTTCCCTGTTTAAGTTTTAACCCGTTACCCCTTCTCCTGTCACTACAGTCCCTAATGAAGAGTCCATCCCCAGCATCCCTATAGCCCCCCTTCAGATACTGGAAGGCTGCTCTGAGGTCTCCATGCAGTCTTCTCTTCTCCAGGCTGAACAGCCCCAACTTTCTCAGCCTGTCTTCATACAGGAGGTGCTCCAGTCCCCTGATCGTCCTCGTGGCCCTTCTCTGGACTTGTTCCAACAGTTCCATGTCCTTTTTATGTTGAGGACCCCAGAACTGCACACAATACTCCAAGTGAGGTCTCGAGCAGAGTAGAGAGGCAGGATCACCTCCTTCGACCTGCTGGTCATGCTCCTTTTGATGCAGCCCAGGATACAGTTGGCTTTCTGGGTTGCAAGCGCACACTGAAGCTGGCTTGTGTTCATTTTCTCATCAACCAGCACCCCCAAGTCCTTCTCCACAGGGCTGCTCTGAATCTCTTTCTTTGCCCAACCTGTAGCTGTGCCTGGGATTGCTCTGACCCAGGTGTAGGACCTCGCACTTGGCATGGTTAAACTTCATGAGGCTGGCATCAGCCCACCTCACAAGCGTGTCAAGGTCCCTCTGGATGGCATTCCTTCCCTCCAGCGTATCGAGCGAACCACACAGCTTGGTGTCATCGGCAAACTTGCTGAGGGCATGCTCAATCCCACTGTCCATGTCAGCGACAAAGACGTTGAACAAGACCGGTCCCAACACCGATCCGTAAGGGACACCACTCATTATTGGTCTCCAGCTGGACATTGAGCCACTGACCACAACTCTTTGTGTGCGGTCATCCAGCCAGTTCTTTACCCACTGAGTGGTCCATCCATCAAATTGATGTCTCTCCAATTTAGAGACAAGGATGTCGTGTGGGACAGTGTCGAACACTCTGCACAAGTCCAGGTAGATGACATCAACTGCTCTACCCCTGTCCATCGGTTCTGTAGCCCCATCATAGAAGGCCACCAAATTGGTCAGGCAGGATTTCCCCTTAGTGAAGCCATGCTGGCTGTCACCAAGCACCTTCTTATTTTTCATGTGCCTTAGCATGCTTTACAGGAGAATCTGCTCCAAGATTTTGCCAGGCACAGAGGTGAGACTGACTGGTCTGTAATTTCGCAGGTCATCCATTTTCCCCTTCTTGAATATGGGGGTTATATTCATCTTTTCCAGTCGTCAGTTGGGTGTACTCAGTCTTCCTCATTTGTTTAACATGCATCTTCAGTCTGTCTGAAGAGAGACCAACTTACTGAAGCCCTAGTATGTAAGGCTTTTAGATCTATTTTTATGATGTAGATGAAGCAAAAGCAAAACTGCAATGGGAAGGTGAGCACCAGACAACAGAATTAACGTCACTAAGTACCCTGATTTATTGTATAGCAGCCATATGGTTAGGTTTGTAATTTATGTGTAGATACCAGGATTCTCTCAGAAGTTGCCATACAGGAAAATCACAAGGAATCCTTACAGCAAAGGCACGGGTGGCCAAGAGCTGACCCACCACACATGCTGCTGTCAGAATGGAAATACACCCATAGAAGAGCTGCAGGTCTCTGCCCCACAGGAGCAACCAGTTCCTGCCTGCCTCATCTGGCATTGCTTCCTTTAGGAAAGACCTGATCTTTCTGCTGTCCATTCCTGCTATCTATTTCAGCTCATCTCTAGGGCAGAGAGGAATTTGTGGAAGCTGGCAGCACTTTCAGATACAAGCACTGAGTACCTTCCTTATCTTTAGGCAATTAATTTTGTCATCTCTCCCTTCCCTGTTGGCATAACTTCTTGGTAGACAGCGAAGCTTTGTTTGTTGAGTCATCTCATGGGTTGAATATTTTCATGTTGATGGAAAAAGATAAACCCAACTTAATATAGTAACATTTATCTGGCTGCAAAAATAAGCTCACACCCAGTGATGTGTGCTGCTCCCCACCCTCATACAGAAGCCTCACCCAAAATATAGTTTGTTAATTGTCCTGCCAATCTACTTAATTCTGTTGGACTGAAGGAAGATTTGGTGGCCAAGGGCAGAGCTTTCAGTAATTCTTTTGGTTCCCCAATTGACAGGTATAATGGAGACACTCTGCTTGACTTATGCTGTGATGATACATTGGCATGAGGGGCTCTGTAAGGCAGGTCCTAAAGGCAGGTCCTGACTTTGATTAAAGTCAGTGAGTATACCACTAATAAACTGAAAACTACAATTTTGCTGCAGTCTGTTATGACTCCATAAAGGCTTTATTGCTACACACAAACTGTGTGTCTGCTGAGATCTGGCTTCAAGGCAGAAAAGGTGTAGTACAAAAGTACTTTGAAGATGGGCAGT